GTGGCCAACAAAATATTGATTTATACATAGTTACTTCATTGGTTAAAGTATAAATTGTTAAATTTTGAAATGTAATTGTTATGTGCAATTTTGTGTAATTAAAATTTTTCAGTGTGCAAGACTTTTGTCCAGGTAGTGTATGTAAAACATTGTTGCAAACAAGTTTACTTAGTAAAATTTTTCGTTTTACATGCATGAATTCGTAAAATTTTGTGTTACTCACTCACCACTTACTGTACATAGCACATTATGGTTGAGATTTCATAAATAGAAGGCAAAGTCAGCTTGAATTCAGATAGACTACTGATTTTCGGAAATAAGAACAGTCAGTCAGTTGGTACATAATCAAGCCAAGCTAATGTTGACTCGTTTTACTATTACAGGAAGGAGCAGTCGTGCTGACGGCAAACATTATTATTCAACAGTTCTGCAGTTATAAATATTCAATGTTTACTGTTAATTTGATATACCATCATAAGCGGCATATATACATATTGAATAACAAACGATCATTACAATGACCATGATAAATTATGTACAAACAAAACGCATAATAATTATGCATTCGAATAAACTTCACACATTCTAAACACGACACTTTTTTCTAACTGTTTTCCTATCACAAATCCGTACGCGGATTTCTCTTCTCATCATTATCGTTACTAGCATCACTTGACGTTGACGATCGAGAGATGGTAGAACTGACTGCAGGAATCGCACGTTTAGTGCTTGTTATTTCGCTCTTCAATCGGTGGTGCGGATATGTCTTTGATTGATTCTGCAATTGTTCAGCATAACGCGAGATTATACTCGAGAAATAGAACTACAGCGAATAAAAAAAACAACTCATTAGCACACTTTAACCGCCTCCAATGTGACATGATTTGACGTAAACTTACCGTCCACAAAATCATGACAGCTTCGAGTACAGTTGCAAAAATCAAAAACCCAAGAACAGCATGTTTGCAAGCATCACGAACTTCATCTGTAACCGACTGCAATTCGGAATCGCCTCCGGGCGTAGTAGTCCCGTTCCCAGTTCCAGCTCCAGATCCAGGCGTAGTCCCGCTCCCAGTTCCAGCTCCAGATCCAGGCGTAGTCCCGCTCCCAGTTCCAGCCCCAGATCCAGGCGTAGTCCCGCCCCCAGTTCCAGCTCCAGATCCAGGCGTAGTCCCGCCCCCAGTTCCAGCCCCAGATCCAGGCGTAGTCCCGCTCCCAGTTCCAGCTCCAGTGCCGGGACCGAACTGCCGTTTAAAAGGTCCAGATAACCAATGCGTTCCGGGATTGTAAGCCGTACCATTAAGTTCTTGGACTTTTTCTACACACTTGTCATTGAAGTTGCCTCGATTTCGCCAGAGTATAGTTAGATTGAAACAGGCCATCGCGACAGCAATGAAAATGCTTACACTTATTAATATAGACATTATACGGACTAGCCGGGGTTTAGCCTTACATAGGGAGGATAAGAGATGTGATAGTATTTAGTTAGTTTCAATTGTTACCACAGCTGTAAGGAAATAAACATTTCATTTGGTGATTTCAGGATTTGCATAATGATAGCGTAAATCGAGCATACCGTAATCGCAGATAACAAAGCGAATACCGCAAGGACAGCTCTTACGACATATGCTATCCCCATCGTAAGCAAGTAGGCTCGCCGGAGAAATTCAATTTCTGTAAGAAAAAGAGACGCATCACAATATGCGTTAGTATATCCGAAAGAGTTTTTGTATACAGTTTCCAGGGCGCATCGGTTGGCACATGCATTTGTGTAATTCTTTCCCGTAATTTCATTTTTGTCTCCAAATTCTAAACTTTACCTTTATCCCACAACAAATAGATATATGCGCCCACTGCGCAAGCGAGCTATCAATTTGCCAAAAAAAAAAAAAAAAAGATTATTTAACCTCGCGTACTCTTACATAATGTGATATACGTAAAATAGAGGGGTAACTTACGGCAGAGACAATAGCGAGGAGCATAGTACCCACCCGCAGGCCGATACTGAATAAATGAAGAGGAAAAGTTATTTAAATCATGTGTTGAAAACGTACAATGAATATCAATCACTTACCAGAAGCAGCACCGTTCGACCATGTTTAGCAATAAGTCTTTGTATTAGCTCAAGTATAGAATGCACTTTGTGTGTGGTCCTTTATACCACTTGTTTTCTCCGTTGTCGATACACTTTTTTTGGTGTCAGAAGTAAAGATTTTGTTCCTTATCATATAAATCTGCCTTTATATTACTTCTCTGATCAAACCATTTGGCCAAACCGGACAAGTTGACGCGTGGCTGAGTGGTGAGGCTAAGGCCAACATGGCTTTGTAATGCTTAGCTTTAATGAAAGCCAATAAATAAATGTACCAAAGCTTTCATTCGTGTGTCCATAAGCCTCGTTTTCTTGTCAAAACAAATCTGGCTGTTGTTGTATGACAAAATGGAGTATGTAGCTTTATTTGATTCGATGTAACGCCACAGAATTGGCGTATTTTTAAATTTTAATTTTACGAAAAGAAAACAGCAAAGGCCGCATGACCATTTCATTAGAATCAAGTCATTTAACAAGGTTGACTAATGCCGTGTTTACAAAATAAATTGTCAAAATTAAATGAAAAAAGTCAGCAATCGCCTTTTCAGTGGTAGGCATGGTAACACATGCGATTCTGATTGGTTGACACAAACCAAAAAACGTTTCATAATGTTAAATGCAATCATTTCGGAAAATAACAATGTTGTATCAGGTTTACATTACGTTTGGTGAAAAACACATATTTGAAGTGTGAGCCAACAGCGGTTAGTTGTTGACCTTGAGATTTATCACTCTCAGCCATTAACGCTAAATCAATTCGACAATTCTCAGCTACAGCGTTCAACTGGTCCTAATCATTGGGCAAGTATCAACGATTATGGTGCAGTCACCAGGGAATTTGCTTTATTCTCCCCCTCTCGGCAGATGCCACACAAATGTTTATTTTGCACGCAAGTTAATACGTTGATGACATAATGCATACCAATAAAGAACACGAAATACCGTGCGTAAAACTCAAATCCTCAAAGTGCACCCCGTGATACCCAATAAAGCTTAATTACAAGTTATTCCATATATGCTATGTAATGGTCCATCTGTCATTCATTCGCCGTTCATTAATCTCGACGCGTCATTTAAATTTCAATAGCGAACAAAGCTTTCGCATCAGTTTAGCTAACGGTTAGTATATCGACGGCGTACGTGTCTGCTTTTGCAAACTAAAATTTTCCAGTACTTTAATTGATATTCAATCTATTTATTCGATTCCCGTGCTTTTTCCGACTGATTTTGTTTAGCAACCCTCCTCTGTTTATGGATAGCTCATAATCACTATTTTTGAGGCTGAGTTGTAGAAACGTAATGTCCGGGCTCAGGCTCAGTATTACAATACGTTCTACATTTCTATTGTCTCAAGTTAACGCTAGAATCGATATGACAACCTTCTCAAAATACACATTCGCTTCTACATTATGCTCTTCTGAATTCAGTCTCTATCTCAGAAATGCTTACGGGCACTCCACCCTAACAATAAAAGTACAAAGAGAGTATTAAGTAAATTTACTGCTGAAAACAGAAGAATCTTTTCTTCTCTTTTTTTTTTTTTTAAAAAAAAAAAAGAAAGTGCCTACATTTTCGTCATACTCGGCCCAATACGCTTCTGACAAGTCAATGTTTTCAAACACTGTTCCCGATTCAGAGCTCACTGCTTTGAATCCAATCTAAAGTCCAAGAAAATGATAATAACAGCGACATTGTTACTACGACTGGATATGCACAGCACTTGGTTAGACACGCATTATAGATAGCTCCATATCACGTTGGCCACATTCGTCCACTAATACTAAATAACCCACATTTTTCCATACGCACTCTAGGTTCAAATCCAGTAAGCTCCAACCCTCGGCACTCGATAAGAGCCATCTGTGCGTACTTCCCACTATCATCACTTGTATAAAGAGTAGTTGGCTTGGAATCGAATTCTAGATACAACAGCCATTGGTTAATGTTATATCAAAAGCCACAAACAAAAATCCCCACAACAATTAAACAGATACATACGTGCACTGCTCTCTCGCCTGCAGAATTTGCACCTCATGACAAAATTGGCGCTTCCTCGCGAGCCAGACATTTCATTCTGCGCCTATCATTGGAAAAAAGACATTATATTTATAAAAGCAAGCAATAAACAAGTCCGAATATAAAGGTATACGGGTAAACCTCGATGTACCGACGCCTCGTCCAAAAAGGCGTTCATCAATTTCCAATACCATTATGCTGAAGACAAACCGTATGCTCAACGTCGATATAGCGAGCTTTACTGTATTCTCAATTAGTCATTACTTACTAGTCGATTGACTCCAACCCAATTTTCGTTTGTTTCATTACAACTCGTACATTTGACCTTTAAATATATATACGAATAATTATTTTCCCTGCCCAAAGCAAACGAATCGTATCATTCGTTGCAAGAAGGTATGCTGCGCCTTTTCACGCAATAACAAGTGCAAAAGAGTCCTGACTAGGAAACCTTAAAGTGCCACTCGTATGCATCGTCTTCTGGACCAACGTCAGTTACATTCTCAAGATCTGCTTTGAAGAATAGTGCGAGTTTCTGAGTCAAAAGGCATGATCATTGGCATAAGTACGTTCGATGTTTTTAGTTTCGGGGGGAAAAAAAGTACTCGCGATCGCAAGTCTGTAGTGTATTCTTTAAATTGACTTACCACCATGGCTTGCAAGGTAGCAAAGTTGTATGCAAAGTGAGATGGATCAATAATGTGAATTACTGATTAGCTGTCAAGTAAAATGGGTGCACAACAAACTCGCAATCAGAAATTATATAATTATGTGCTACATTCAAAGAATTTCTACATTTCAAAGAATTACTACATACTATTCACTTGCTAACGATTATTAGTTGAAAAGCCTGAACATATGAAAGCTGTTACTATGTGAGTTGGAAATTATTCCAAACTATCTATTCAATGATGAACCCGCAGACACAGGCAACTCTACCTCGCCCGCCTAATGCTTTGCAAGCATGGCTAGAGATATTATAGAGTCATTTTCAGTATCTCAACACTTTAGATAAAATGCTTTGGGTCTTCAGCTCCGACCAATTTTCTTCTACAATTGTTGCAACACGGTTCATCGATTCTAACAGCAACGTCGTCATTCCGTCGACATTGTTGATACTGGATAATTTTACCTGACTCGATAACACGTCATCTGAATATATCGTCAATGTGTCAATTGCAGCTATGCAGACTCTTAATTTCATTGGCAGTTGACCAACGCATCAATTTAAAAAGTTGGTATTACATTCCCAAAATGACAAGACTATCATAGTTACTGATCTGTAACATATAGTGTTAATAATGACCAGGCAATTTGAATCACTTGTTCTACACGCGTTTCCTGGGGGACAATGCTCAATTGCTAGCTAGTACAATGATTCAGATATTAGGTGTCACATATCAAATGGTATAATGACTGGTATGTATAAAAGTTTCACACTTGTGAAATGCTTCTGTGGAACAGACATATTCTGAAAATAATATTTTTTTGTATTGTAGTTGAACAATAGGAAAAGAGTATGCATAATAAAGATATTAATATTAATAATAGAGATAAGCATACATAATATAGAAATATCCCAAGTTCAATCTTGCATCGATGCACAATCTCTCATGAATATCCTAATCACAAATATTATTTCTTACATCATCTACAATAACTTGTACATATTATATCCACATACGACTAGTAAGTAACATACAACATCAACTTCTTTCTGTCTGGCTCACCCCCCTCGCTCTCGCTCACCAAGGAATCTCGCCCCCATTAAAAACATCCAATATCATGAATCTCTATAGCTAAATGGTAGTACCGGTTTGTTCTCCAAAATTGACTCGATTTCATTAAAAATTTCTGGTGTCAACAAGGGCGCAACGCGCAAAGCACCAATGTTTTCTTCTAATTGTTCTGGTTTAGACACACCCATGATTACTGTGCTAATATTTGGCTGTCTTATGCACCTTGTAGAAATAAAAGGGCGATTAGAATAGTCGGGAATGGCACAAGAATGTTGATGAATGACGCTTACCATGCAAGACATAATTGTGCAAGAGTCGCATTTAATTTTTGTGCAACTCCCTGAAAATCCCAAAGGTAAAGAAAAAACCATCTCGCGTCAGTAAAAAGCTCGTTTATCCCTTGCTCATCTTTGTATACACGTTATTCGTAAAATGCCCGGTCAATGTCAAACTATCCTCTTGCTCACACCATAATCATCATCTTCACGCACCTGTAATCTAGTAATCTTTTTCATTTGCTTCCTCCCCTCTTCACTAAGCCACTTTTCTTTTAACATAAACATTACGCGATTATCCTCCATGGCTAAGCGGGAGCCCGGACAAATTCCATTGTTGTGTTTGCCGGTGAGTGTACCACTGGCAAGCGGAGACCAGACCGCCCCGCCCATGCGGTATTCTTTAAAGAGGGTGTGGTATTCAACTTCGAAACGGTCGCGATGGAACATATTATATTGAGTCTTGAGGAAAGGCAATTTAATTAATGAGAGGAAGAATAAAAAAATATTTTTTAAATGGAAATAATATCTGCGAATTCACTAAACACACCTGTTCCAACTATGAATGAAGGGGGAAAAAAAATAGAGTTTTTCGTTAATATTTCCAAGCCTTTTTTTTTTTTTTTTGCATAGCAACGTCCAATAGAAATAAATACTCACCAAGGGCGGAATAAGATTTAAATATCTGGCAACATTATGCGCTTCAACGATCTGTGCCGCAGGCCATTCTGAGGTGCCCCAGTAGAATGCTTTCCCCTGATCGATTACAAAGTTGAAACCGCGAACTACTTCTTCCATTGGCTAGAGATGGAAGACAAGGAAAGAGAATAAACGTGATTAGTGGGAGTTGGAGACTATCAGACTTGAGTACATGGGGACGTTCGCGTTTTTAAGCGTTGATTTGTTAAAAGTGTGGCTATATTAATGATAGGATGCATCACGTGATAATGTCAAACTTGATCAAATATGCTTTTTCCTTTCCCCTTTCCCCTTTCCTCTTTTTCCTTTCCTTTTTCCTTTCCTTTTTCCTTTCCTTTTTCCTTTCCTTTCCCCCCTCCTTTCCCCCCCTCCTTTCCCCCCTCTCTCCCTTTTCTCCTCGTTAACCCAATCCTTCTCGGACAAAAACCATTTCAGGGAAACCCTACCGTATCTGGATCATAACGATGCGCATAAACGATATCAACATAATCCAAACCCAGCCTTTGTAATGAGGCCTGTAATCCCTCAACAATGTGTTTCCTAGAAAGCCCTCGATCATTGGGTCCCTGCCCTCCCCAAAACACCTTGGTGGAGATCACAAAGTCAGAACGTTTCCACTTTAGATGTCTTATTGCCTGGCCCATTTCGATTTCACAGTTACCGCTGGCATAAACTTCGGCTGTATCAAAGTAGTTTATTCCGCTTTCAAAGGCAGCTTGCATGCATTTTATGGTTGTGTCTAAAAAGGTGGGAAAAAAAAGGCGGCGGAAATAAGAAGGATGATTATAAAAGTATGGTGATATATGCTCATCGTGAGGAAAAATATGTCATCATAGTCGAGTAGAGAGGGGGGGAATTGAGAGAGCTTCGCGTGCTTTATGTGTTGATAAATTATAAACTTTACCAAGTGGTACTTGAGCACCAAATGTGACCCAACCACCGAGCGACAGTGTTGATACCTTCAGACCACTATGACCCAGATAACGGTACTCCATTTTCATATCGGAGTTTAAAACTATGTTGGATTGTGACTATTTATATATGTATGTATGAATTATCACAAATATCGGGAGGGAGAATGCGTAAAAGAACGCTTCGTTAAAAACTAGTGGGCATAATGTCGTAAGAGTTCCTCTTTTTAAACAAATTCTCCCCCCTCCCCATCTAGCCCCCAAGATCTCTACCATTGATGCTAACTTAGCTCAGAACGTTTTTTTTTCGACTTAATTACCTGAATGAGGAAAAGTGATCCACAAAAAGTCTGCGAGTATGTGGTTTGTGCGAGGTGCTTGGAAGAACGTTTATGCGGGGTTTCGCATCCAAATTCCTACCATTCATAATACAAATGTCATCATCCATTGTGCATTATATACACATCTACCGGTTATCATCCCAATCGGAACGGAACAAAAGATCTGGAGGAAGAAATTTTAAGCGGGTTTAAGCCAAATTACCATATCCTTTACAAGATCCAACAGAAGATGTAACAAGATGCGTGCCCTCTTCGGTGCATTGCATCGGCAAATTCGCTTCTTCTTGGAAAAAAAAAATTCAGTTCGAAACAATGCAATCCTCTCATTGTAGATTGCCTACCATTTTAGGCATTTATTTGTTTTATACCGTGCAAAAATAAATGAAAAGTTGAGGGGTTTTTTCGGTTGGGTGGGCCTGATTGCGCGAGTTATGTCTTTTTTTTTTTTTTTTCCCTTCCTTCTTTTTACACTTGAACCTATTTCCCCAAGTCGGATATAGGTTCACCCGATGTTTAGAGTTTCATTGAATAGCCGCATTTGTTTGGGCCACAAGATATGAAATTCCGCATTTGTTTAGAGTCGCCCTTGTATCAGGTGAATATCCGTCTGACGATCTGTTGGTCTGATCTGGGCATAGTTTGAGATAGTAATAGAGGGAAAGGGAAGCCATTATTATTCGGGTTGCAAGGCCCAATATACTAAGTAAGGCTTTGCTAATGCGTTTATGGTTAGTGTTCTGTTTCCATTTGCGAATTCTCCAACTTGATACACATGCTCTAAAGACGTTATTACAGAAGCTTGTTTAGCATCTTAATGCGAACCAGTAGAAACATTGCAAAGGTAGATCAATAGAAGGCTCGAATATCAGTTGGACTATCTTATCTCTTTCATTTATTATCATTTTGTTTATTTTCCGAAAACCCATACTAATACAGTAATTTGACTAACTTGTTGCTCTATCCCCATAAGTTGGTTCTGTTGACATGAGCTTGCCCAGTTTTACTAATCAAACATCCGAAATCTTATTAATAGAATTTGGTACCAATTGACCGTATTTGGCCTTTTTACACCTTAAAAGTGTGATATATAAGGATAGCCGTAAGGGGAGGGAAGGGGGGGGTTGAATACTATCATATCATTACGATTAACAAACCGATAGCTTTTTTTGTAATTCCCTGTGTTTATTGTCATTATTATGTTGGGATGTAACATTCTACCAATGGAACGTGTGCCACTTGAGAAATCAGGTTTCCTCCTTCTGCCCAATAAACAACGTCAGATTCCGCCCACAACCTTGTGTCCATGCAATAATGCACAAAACTTTTTAGCATTGTACCAACTATGACAATGACCCCCCGAGAGAATTGGATGATACTTTTCCCGCTTGTATAATAAATAGTAGCCACTAGGGAACTACTCACATTGTCGAAGCAAAAGTCTAGATCACATTCTCAACTAAATGAGTTACAAAGATACTCGGGAGAATGTAAACTAAAGTGAGCATAATGACATTTTGAAGCATTTCTGAACCACGCTGTGCTACAGTTTCTCATAATCTTAATTGGACAACTCTCATAACAGAACCGTGTGAACCTAACTTTCAAAAAGTCTGTATGTTTATCTTTTAAATCTGTACGATAACTTTAATAAATTCGGCTAATTATGTTATTTCTGATAGTCGAGATCACGTTGTGTCGCCTCCGGGTATTTAACCGTTCGTGCTGATTGTTCGATATTTTAGACATCGCTGGGAGATCTTATCGTTGTGCGGGGATGGCGGACATTCGAAGGCGGGTTTGGTTACTTATTTTGGCTCAATTACCGAATAATCGTAGATCGATCGCGCAAAAGTCCAAGTTCCATTCTCGAATGTGAAGTTCGTTTATAATCGGTGGCCCCATACAGTCTAATTCTTCATCAGCTAACAGTACATTGCATAGTATGTTGGAAACTTGTCGTCTTCCAATCTGTGCCAACATCGCTATATTTCTGGCATGTATCAACTCGGCCAATTCTTTACAAGGGACGCGTATGCAGGTATACGAAAGCATACATGGATAATCATAAAACACTAATATGATAACGGCGGCAAAGCTTAATATGATCTCCTAGAATTAGCTCGTATAACATTAGCAAACCAATCCGAAAATAATAAAATAATAATATAAAACTGCACTTACCAATAGTCACGCTGTACGTTTATTGTTTGCAATAAAAACAATTAGATAGACTCGAACCTAACTTACAAGTTCCACCACGAGCATGCTACCTTACAAAGTGTGAAAAACGCCGCTAAAAAATATAGTCTCTGGCACAATTTACGAGATAATGGAATATATCCTTGACCAATATAATAAATTACGACTATGGCATTTGAAAATAGCTTTTAGATAATAGTCTGGGGTCTGTAACATTTTAATCTCTCTCTCTTTTTCAATTCCGCTCAAGTGACGTTTTGATAACTCTTTTTAGCAGCTTAATTTATAAATCAGCACGCCGCAAAATAAAAGCAACACGTAAGAAAAATTATTCACTTTTATCAACGAGAACATTATTTTGCAAGCACAAATTAAACTCATGTTAACGCTAAATGGAAAAGGCTAAACTTACCCCGAATTTTGGCTTTCTACCTGATAATTTTGGCAATTTTACGGTTTATGATCAATAATTACACTACATGCACAATATCCATGGGTTTTTCCGCTAATTTTTTCAAAAAAAGTATAAGAAGGTGAGACCTATTAATAATATAATTGTTGAAGTAATGATCTATTAATAATATAATTGTTGAAATAATGACTGAGACAAGCTGAGTTCTGGACTAAATGTCTGGGTTCTGAACTGAGACAGGTTCCAAACCCAGACACAACATAATCCAAGTACCCTTGCAAAGATCTGCTATCACGTGGTCTCCTCCAAAATCCCATCATCCCATCAATTTAACGTTTCATTCGCTACCGCGACAATGCACCGATGCATTTTTGTGCAGGCTAACGCTACTACTAGTCTCTCCTATAAACTCGCGCAATTCATAAACTCTATTCGTTCAGTCATTGACCAATCTCTGAACAAACAATGTCTACTGACGAAGAATTACGCTTTATGGCCGAAGAAGTAAGCGCTGTTTTTACTGATAAAACATTAAACGAAATACTTATTGATTTAGCCAGGACGCGTAGCGCTACAGTAACGATGAACAGAATACTGGATGGGGAGGTAATAACAACGTGCATTGACAGAAACACATTACTCGTAAAGTGACTGGATTATATAGTATTAGGTTTCCCAGTTATGTCGAATGTGTGATATTAGTAATAACGTATTTAAGCCATGCTAATCACATTCAGTCTGCAGTTCTTGAAGGAAACATCTCTCGATCCATCTCTGTGTTTTGGTGGATCAAGTACAGATTCGTTGCACCAGCCAAATAGTACAAACAATCCGGAAATTATTTGCATCGACGATGATGACGAGGATCAACCGGTCATTCATAACGACAATGCTCGGATTAATCAAAGTTATCTACAAGGTACGCACACTCGCACTAATTTGTTGTGATAAGTAACATGACAGTTAGTACTATTGAAGTCATTGTTTCAAGGGAGCCATGGTAATACAAGCTGGAATCAGAACAAGTGAGTAATTTTAAGGTTATCTCAAAGACATATCTTACGGTCTTTTGACGCCTCTTTTTTTTTTTTTTTTTAAACAGGGCGGAGGATCTGATATCCCAGATTAGCAACATAGAATCTGCTATTAACGATGTCCAAGTAATGGCAACGAGCAGTGTTCAAAGTATCCCAAGAGAAACTGCTCGATCAGCCAGAGAAACAAAAAAGTTGATGAAGGTCTGATGATGATTATGACGTGTATTCATGTCTTGATTCCAGAAGAGTTTATTCAGTGATTTATTGCAGGAACGTCAAAAAGAAGAAAAGTTGATGGAGCGGTTACAACAGAAAGTATGTGTACTCATTTGAAGCATACGTCAGACGCGAGTCAAAATTTACTTACTGTGCTTATTCATTGTTTAGGTACAGCGTGAAGCAGAGCGATTACAACAAAAAGTATGTGAACTCATTTGAAGCACACACGTCAGACGCGAGTCAAAATTTACTTACTGTGTTTATTCATTGTTAGGCAGAGCGTGAAGCAGAGCGATTACAACAGAAAGTATGTGTACTTATTTGAAGCATACGTCAGACGCGAGTCAAAATTTACTTACTGTGCTTATTCATTGTTAGGCAGAGCGTGAAGCAGAGAAGCAGCGAATAAAAGAGATGAGAGAAGCCAACAAGACGAAAAAAGACAAACAGGAGATGACACGTGAAATGATTGTCGAGATGGAGTCCTCTCTTCTTAATAGCCCAATCGGTCGACTCATCAAAAGTATTCTTATAGAGAAGCAAGTCACTATCCAATCATTGGATTGCCCAACTCCTAATATAATTACTTGGAGTAGACGCGTGACCACTCGATATGATCCCATCATCGAAGCATATACCCCTATTCTGGAGAAAATAGAACAAGAGTCTCACGTGCTAGTGTATCAACCAATGCAATCGTTCGCGAAAATGATCTCTGATGCCACTCTTCACACATTTTGTAATGGGCTACAGAGGGCATTTGCAAATAAAAAATTACTGCTGCTTATTGAAGGCATGGACAATTATATGAAGAAAAGTACCAAGAAGCGCAATCGTGAATTTGCGGATGCAGTCAGGAATGCTATCGGAGCAGATGAAAATACGACTAGTAGAAGAAGGAAGCGTAGTGTTGATGAGCGAATAGACGAGGCACTTATCCAGGAAGAGTTGATTTGGCTACAATTGGTTGCAAGATGTCTTGTTATCCACACTAAAAATGAAAACGAGACGGCTGAAATGGTTGGAATACTAACTACCGATATTGCTACAATTCCATACAAGTAAGCGCGGGCGCCCGTTGATACTTTGTACTTGATTTAGCGGCTGTTCACTGAACACGGTAAATTATACATATTGTCTCTCCCTTGTATGTTCCGTCTGTCTGTCAAAGGAATAAGAATCTTGATCTCAATGTCTGTATCGAAGGTCAAGTTCGTGCTGGCGTTGATAGTCGTGATGCTTGGATGCGCATGCTCCAGGAAATTCAACTTGTCACTCACCCAGTCGCAAGTTCCATTGTAGAGAGATACCCCACTGTTAGTTGTCTCTACGATGCATATCGTCAATGCAGTACACACGAACAGAGGGAATTATTGTTGGCCGATATCGAAGTGAGTTGTGTAGAAATTTATGTATGATGTTCGCGCATTTTTGTGTGCGAATGGGATGTGGTACTATTATATTACTGTTATATAGGTTCCTACGGCTGGACTGAGTCGTCGCTTTCGTACAGTTGGACCAGCATTGTCAAAGCGGATACATCAGATATTTACAGAAGATGATTCAGATATATTGATCTCGTAACAAAGTAAATATGTTAACATAATACTATTATCAACATCCACGAAAGGTTACAGCGAAGGCGAATCCTAAACTTTCAAGTGGTGTTTGTGAAAACTGCTCAGCAGACGATGCACTGTCAGCTTTATTATAGTTTTCTAATTGACCAAATCCATGCGATTCTTCAAACCACGTCTATCTTTGACGAATGAATTGAAAGCTGAGCTCAAAAGATAACGATGTATGTTTCAATTCAAAGTTCTTTCAACCGCGACCACCGAATTTCGCATCCAAGTTGTCCAGGTTTCTTCTTTTTTGTATTGCAAATTTCGCGTTTCCAGACAGTGGAAAGAATTTCATTGTCGTACTGCGGAGTTTTAAATAACAATTGTTATTATGGCGTGATATTCTTTTGCATCTTAATTTAGAAATGCTGATAATAAACATGTGATGATTGATGTCGGCTATAATGCCAAATTGGATTAAATAATACCCAAGTGTCAAGCACTCCCTAAATGCAAGGTCTCATTGTACATAGCTGCGCTCGTTTGCACTTGATAAGCTATGCATGTTGCATAATAAGGTTGTAGTAGACATAAATGGCATAGCACGATTACCGAAAATGTCTGTTAATCACTGTTTATGGTACGTCTCCTACAGTGATCGCTAATTTTAGCACAACCCAAATAGGCACAGCCCGTTTATTATCGTTATGCTTATTGCTATTACTATGGTCTTATGCACCGAGTTTAAGCCTCAAACGTTCTGCTATTACTAAATCGAATAATATTAGGGTTTGTATTAGCAAGTAATTCTCCAACCTTTTTTATTACATCCAACTTTCTTTTTTATGGTCTGCTCGCTTAACTCTCTCGGACGCGCGCCTGCTCTTTCGCGCTGACATAAACAAAAGAGTAGTTACCAAGCTTACAACGCTTGTTGATAGAACTGGTGGTTGATTCTTTGACTGGGTTAGCATTTATGATTAACTATCTGAAGCACCGGGGCATTGGGTTTATTTAATCTTCCTTTGTTTGTTATTGCGGTCGCCTGCTGTGCAACTAGAAGATTTACGTTCTTTGTCGTCGTTAATATTATACACAGTGAAACTCGTAAGTCGGACACGACTGGCTGGGCATGGTTATCCGACTTATCAAGGAATCCGACTTATCGAAAGGATTTTATATAAAGGGCAGAGATTTTGTCCGACTTGTCGAGTGTCCGACTTGTCGAGTGTCCAACTTATCGAGTTTCACTGCGTATTTGATTTAAAGTTGTGCGCTTACTATTACTAATTTTAAGGATTCATTGGAAGAAAAGGCTTTATTCTTTTCATCCTAATATGGTAATGAGATCATCCCATACATGTGTGTGATGTAATTAGACACCATTTTCAAATTGTTGTGTTTGAATTCGGCTATTTGATTTGTCATATCGTATTCAGCCACTGTCCAGAATGTTCATTAATGTGGCTTGAAAATCAGGATTAATTTTCTGCGTATTTGAATAAATAGACAACAGTAGACTGAAATATTAGTAGGACCACTCAAACAGCAAACTCAATCTACGAGAAAGCACTCGGTAATAACACAGTTTTTTCTTAGGCCAGCCCACATAACAAAAGCCCCAGAACCTCAAGTGAAATGTCTAAAACGCCAGCCAAGAAGTCACTTGGGGAACTTGTTATTATCGCCGTCAAGGCAGTAAGTATTATTCTCACTGTTCAAACAAACGCAAGCATCTATAATACAGACAAGGCGGTGCTACTCTTTGACGTTCACCAGAAGTGTAACAAGGATAAATAGTTAATACGATGACTCTTTTACGTATACACAAAAACATAATACATACATACATACATATATATACATTCAATACAGATATATTTTGATTAATTCGTCTTTGATACAAAAAGAAAATTGATTCTCAGATATACCGTTTATTTTTCTTACGATCCATCTTTTTGTTATATCCAGCGCCATTTAGCAACTCCTGGCGTAGGCAAAGCCGATCCATTTGCCACATTCAGAGTTGCTGGCGATGCAAAGAGGACCCGTACTGACAAGCGCGGTGGTCAGCATCCAGAATGGGACGAAGAAGTCAGATTTCAGATCTTGGACGACGCAACTCACAAGACGCTCAAGGTACAGGTGTACGATGAAGATAAGAGAGAACATGACTTGATTGGAGAAGCTATCATTGATTTGAACAAAGTAATAGCCGACGGCGAGACTGATGGTGAGTAAGCAAGGGCACACAGGAAGCAATATTCTCAAATAACTAATAATACTATAAATTATTCAAAGAGTATATATGTATTGTTACTTGTACTGATACTTGCTCACGCTCGTAGAATGTTAATCCGATTCTAATATCACTTTTTTTTTTCTCGTTAGATTGGTACGAGCTGAAGGTGATGAAAAAGAAATTTGCTGGTGAAATATTTCTGGAGATGACATTTTATAATGCTGTATGTAAGCGAATTATAATTATAATGAATCTATAATAGGCATTTGGAATAATATTAATCAAATATTATTATAACTTCCCATATGGATATTATCAGAGTGCTCCTCCACGGCCTTCCAAGCCAGCAGGGCTTACGAATGAATTCCGGCAGCGGCCAGAAAAACTACCTCCCAAAGCATCTCCACCCCCACCACGTCCTAATTCAACAATGCCTCCGAGCTATTCTGCTCCTCCTCCTTCATATCCACCCGTGCCTGCGCCAGTATCTGCTCCTGCCGCCCCTGGATATCCACCGCAACCTCAGAGTACATTGAACTATCCACCAAACAAACCTCCCGTACCCGTCAGTCAAGGATCATATTATCCGCCACCTGTAAGTATAATGACGACTGTATCGAATGAGCACGTTGCTCAGTTTCGCTCTAATTGATATTTTTTATTCTGTTCAACTGACTCACGGTTTTCTATGTTTCCTTTTCTTTCATATCTCTAGCCTCCAGCGGCCTATCCGCCGCAGCCAAATGTTTATCCTCCAGTAACACCAGCATATCCACCACCTGGTCCCTCTGTTTCGCCTCCGGTCTCATCACCCCCCCCTCCCATTGCTTTTCCTACTCCAGAACCTACTCCCGCTGGTGCCTATCCATATAACAATGGGTATCCACCTGCACCTGGATATCCACCTGCACCGAATAATGGCTATCCCCCATCCGCTTATCCTCAGCAAAATGCATATCCGCCATCACCATATTCACATGGCAGTTACAGCTCAGGCTATCCTCCATCTTGATTCTATTATACCAAATAACACACTGAACTATTAGATGTTCACCTGAATGTGCTGTGCATGAATATTGCTATTGGATTCAAATATTAGTAAATTTAGACTGGTTTATATAAATATCATTTATAAGGTATTTAATCTGTTAGTTTTATGTTAAAGATTATTAGAGTCAGTTTACCAAGCATTCTGATGAGATCATCATGTATATCGATATATATATATATAAATTTATATAAACTATAATCAATTTTTGTGAAAAAACATTTCCTCAAAAATCCCGTCCTCGAGAAAGAAAAACGTCATGTGAATAAAAAGACTATGTGATCTTGGCTAGAATCGTTAGGCAAGCATCCTGATTTGCAAGGGATAAACAAGATCCTTCATTAAACAAAGTTTAAATAACGGTTATCCAGAATGATAGATAGCGATACACTTCTATAGCAGCCTTACGCATAAATGACTTCACTTATAGATTAACGGCTTTCCACACGCAGTTTATGTACTCGATCAAAAGCATGTATATTGTGTAACCAAAAAAGGGAAATTTAAACAATATATTCGCCCAATTTGGAATAAATGTGTCATATCAAAACCTATGCTGGTTGCGAATATCGATAACGTCGAGACTAAAGTCCTCAAATGTTAGTGTACAAAAGTTACATTCGCGCCCTGTCAATAAAATCGCTTGCGACAGTTCTATCTATTTTACAAATTCTAACATAAATTCAATCATTTGAAGCGTGTGTTTGATGTATTAACAGTATATTCAAAGTAGTTAAATCGATTAATCTACTGAAACGGGTATTTTGATAATCTATTACTATGTGACTTTTGCAGATGCTTGCATTAGTATTTGGGGCTTATTAAATTTGATCGACATGTGTTAATGGCACTTGTCACATTAATGTAGTCCCTAAAGTCGAAACGTAGAAATGAATAGTTACGAACTAACGTTTGTCATCACATCAGAGAAAAGGAGGTTAGTTCGTTTAATATTGTGAGTTTCGTCCTTGCCATTATGTAAACTGGTGCTACAAATGATTTTTATGATCTCCCATGGTCGATCACTGTACACAAATTTTTATCAACTGCTTGTTTCATGTGTCGCCATATGACGTGACGAAAGACTTTTATTAAAATGCGATTTTACAAACACAACAGTATCTCGAAGAACGTGTGTAGACATTAGATGTTACCATTCTTATTGTATTCCTTGCTACATTATTGGGGCTGCAGTAAATTTGATCGACATGCTATAGTCAATGACATCCATCACTTGTCACATTTAATATCGGAGAGTAGGATAATGTTAATATTTTCTTACAAATTGTGATTGAGTTTATAGCACAGCCACATTTCGTACAACGCCGTATTTCCATGGATGATATACACAGATAGCATATTAATATTAAATCAACGAGTTCATGAAAAAAAATATATATTCGAAAATCAGACATCCCAGGTTGGTTGGGATAGTAGAATAGCCATGTGGTTCATAAATTCCCAACTGCTCTTTGGTATCTTGTTTAAAGAGAAGAGACATGGTGGAGTATAATGCCCTAATAAATGCTTGACAGATCTCCTAGATTTACGCATGATCCGTCCGAGTAATAGTAATTGATGATCTATACGTTCCAACCATAATTTGTATAAACAAAGCAATGAACAGTATGAGAGGAAAAATACATACTTAATTCTTATTGCTATCGCAGCTGGGTTAGTTTTTTTTTTTTTTTTTACATTTCCCCTTTCTTTCTCTGCATGTACTGTATGTAGATAGCTTAAATTTATGAAGCAATTCACTCAGGCTGTGGTAATGGGTCCAACAGTTGATGAGATATCTGGAGAGAAAATGAATATTAGAGACGCTAGGGTCATATTAATATTGCTTATTTCTAGATAATTAATATGTCAACCATTTCTGTACTAAAGTAATTGGTGAATCTATAATTACAGATTTATCTCTTTAATAACAAACTTTTAAATAAACTTTAATTTGGTGCTGAGAGGAAAACTGAGAGTGTTCATAAAATACCAATACATCATATTTTGAGTTTGCATATAACGATCGTCGAAAACGCCGTCAAATCTCCGTCGTCAATGATTAATAACTCAACAACCAAGAACCGTATGCTTATACTAATACAATTTACGCGCTTGTTAATTGCAACTGTTGCCGATGTGTGTGCAAAAAATTGACCCAGAATATTAACTACGCTTTGGATTTGCGTGTATCGATCTTCGTCGTCAATCACTAATAACTCAACAACAAAGAACCCTATGCTCATGAAATTCATATATTTATTAGCGATAACTGTTGTCAATGTGTGTGTGAAAAATTGACCCATAGTATTAAGTACTATTTGAATTTGACTATACCGATGGGCTTGATTCTTCGAAGACGCGAAATCGATTTTCGTCGTCAATCATCACTAGCCTGCAGGGTTACATAAATCTCTTCCTTAGGAGTTATGTATTTAC